TTTCTCTTCACTTAAACATGTCAGATTATAGTAGCAAATTCTTGGATGCCCTTAGGAAGTATCTAAAATCTTTTAATGCACTACAATTGTCCAGTTGTTCTTTTCGGATCTCCATTCGCATTATTTACGTAAATAACAAAAAATAATGTCAAAAAACGAAACAGAATATGGTACGTATTTTCCAAATTTGCAAATAATATTATTGTATTATTTGTATTTAGGTAGGTACCTATTTAAGAAATATTAGCCTCTCCTAAGTATTCTATGTTTGAATATTTTTTAAACAAAAGTACAATCACACGAAAAACATATATAGGTATATATGTTAAGACTAATGTGTTAAACAAGAAATTTTCTGGTTAACGTTATAAGAATAGCAGCATATCTTAAAAGACCATACAAATTAAACAGAGAAGTCATTTTCGGTGCTTTTATGACAATTTATACATTTTTCAATTATGAATTTTAACTGTAAACGAAATAAGTTCTCAAACATGTTATAACTTTTACTGCACTCCAAAATATATGTTTTATTAAATGAAATGAGAATTTTGGAAATTTTAGACAATTGCTCAAAATATCCATTCCCGCGCAAGAAAATTTAATTATTTGTATACAGAATTAACAAGTTTTTACATCTTAAACAAAAATAAAAATTCAACGCTTTTGCAAAATATTATTATGAATATGATAATGATTACTAAAAATAAAGTTGTAAAAGGTAACAAAATATTTTTCATTATTAACAATGCATATTAAGATCTTTAGGTGATGACGCAGTCGATAGCTCGGTTTGCCCGAAGGTGAATGTAACACGACGACCGTCGCAACGAATCTTAACCAATTAAAAACTCAAGTTCATTTGCTGCTGCTGCTGCTTTTATATGCTTTCTTATGAAATTATTTTTGTTTTATCCAGCAAACGCTTTCGAGCACGCCACTGGAACAACCAGTTTCTCGGCGGACATGGAAGAACCATTTTTATGACCCTAGTAGAAAGCGCTGTACCAGGCATTTTTTCAAACTATCTTCCCTCCTCTCATTCTACCTCTATGGTGCGGACCTACTTTAGAAATATGTATTGTCCCTTTATATGTGTCTGAACTATCAATCATTTTTATAAGTTGCTTCAAGGTGATTAAAATTTAACATGATAATTTTTCTATTCTCAGTATGAAATATTGCTTTTGGGTGCTTGTTGACAGCAGCTTAAAAAATGCTGTTTTTTTTTGCATTATCACTTCTCGTATAGATAAAAAGCTAAACACTAATAAGTTTTTATTTTTAAGGCCCAGTCTGCAAGGTTGTTTTGGGTTAGTTTTTAAGGGTTTCTCCGAACGGGTTGAAATTTTGTATCAACAATCTTCGTATTGAGAAATAAGCAAATGTCGAGTTTTGACTTGATTGTAGTATTTTTAAGCCCTAGTCTGCAAGATTGTTTAGGGGGTGATTTTTGAGAGTTTCTCCGGATGGGTTGAAATTTTCCATCGCTAATCCTCGTACTGAAAAACTAGCGAATATCAAATCTTGACTTGATTAGAGTATTTTTAAGTCCCAATCTGCAAGTCTGTTTTGGGGGTAGTTTTTAAGGGTTTTTGCGAACGGGTTAAAATTTTGTGCCAACATTCTTCGTATTGAAAAATAAGCAAATGTCGAGTTTTGACTTGATTGGGGTATTTTTAACACCCACTCTGCAAGTCTGTTTTAAGGGTGGTTTTTAAGGGTTTCTCCGAACGGGTTGAAATTTTGTATCAACAATCTTCGTATTGATAAATAAGCGACTGTCGAGTTTTGACTTGATTGGAGCATTTTTAACCCCCAGTTTACAAATAAGTTGTAGGTAAAGTTAAAAATAAGTGTTCTAATACAAACAAAAAATATGCTCAAAACTTGTGTTGTGTTAAAATATATACTTTGTCGTTAAAGAACCAACGATCCACGGTGTGGCGGTTTAACACCAAGTCACCTACTCCACAACGCTAGATACTAATATGACGGCAATAGAAGTGACATGTTGTAATTTCAATGCGTATTCCAATTTTGCAACTTGGAATTCCAACTTTGAAAGTGAAAAGAATGTCTTTCGATTTTTTAACTCTCAACGTTAAATCATTGTTTCTTTCTCACAGATTTTTTGGATATACACCAGAGTGTTTAGTATTTGTACGAATCATACTCATGAGAATTACAATGAAGAAAAAAGATTTAGAGCAGTAAAACCAAACACCCAAATCTGTCACAAATTAATTTTGCAGAATCTTTTATTTAGTACATATTATAAAAAAAAGTCCGGGTAATTCAGTAAATAACAGTGAAATCAATCTTCTAATAGTCGAATCATCAAAGTCGATTTTGACAGTAAAACATATACCTACATAGCGTTTAAAATTTATTGATAAATCGTTACTAATATAATATTGTCCGTTTTTTTATCAAATTAAATCATAATTTCATACATGGCGTGTGTACATATGAGGAGGTATTGATAAAATCTTAGCGTACCACAGAAAGAGAAACCATATCTCGAAACTAAATTTTATTTATTCAATCTAATCACCGTTTAAGTTTATACACTTACTATCAATCATCTTAAATAAAATTCTTAATCTTGGTCGGTAAACCATTGCTACACTGTGTTGATCTAAATTTGATAAGTATCTATTTCCTGTCAACTGTTTTTTCAGTTTCGAAAAAATACAATAATCAGAAGGAGCAATTAGGGACTTGTGGGCCGGAACGTTGTTCTGCAGAAAGAGCACACGTTTTCAGATTTTCTCGCAAGGTTTTTCGTTGATTTTTTTGTCGCAGTTTAGTCAATAGTTAATAATATGGTCCCGTCACTATTTTGCCATCCTTGTCCCAAAAAATCGAGTGTTAAATTTCTTTGAGTAGGGTGATTTTTGGACATCGTAATCAATAAAATACGTGGACAACACAAATTGCATGATATCCAATACAAAAAGTGTTATCAGACGACGACATTACCATGATTACATAACTTAATTTTTTGGATAAAATAAGTGCCATCAATATCAGATCGAACAATTTGTCGGAATTTTAATTATTTGACTATCCATAGTCTGTCTATTTAAAATACTTAGTTTGTAGTATTCAAGTGTTGGCAATAATGTTGCTTAATGACATGTTGTACAACGAACCTCACTACTCGGAAAGTGTGTTGAATAGAGAATGCAGCAATTCTTGTGTTACATTATACTCTTGCGCCTATTAGACTGAGATTTTGCTTTAGTAAACAAGAAATTTGATATCTTTAAAGATTTGCAAACAGAAGAAAATAAAAAATGTTGTATTTTCTTATTCTACACATTTTGTGACTATGACTAAAATTTTCTAAATTTGAAATGAATGATTGTTAGGAGGAACAGAAAAAAATGGTTATTTCTCGGTGTTGCATTTCTAATGTTATTTAGTAGACAGGGTGTTATTGAAAGGTACGTACAACAAAACTGACAGTTCTTCTCGAAGTCTAAGAAGCCTGAAAAACTTAATCTGTGTTATCAAAATTATAAGGGGAAAATTAACCCCTATCCAACCTTTTTAGACGCTACTGAAGGATAACTAGGAATTATTAATTTATTTTAATAAATCCTAGCAACTGTAACAATAATAAAAAAATAGGAGACTCTTTTGTTGCTACAGAAACGACAGATGACCTTTTTATCAGAGGCGTACAACGAATTTGGACATAAATTTTAATAATTTTTATCTTTATAAGGAGAACACTTTTACCTGAACTTTTTTTTAATTTTAGCACCCATACTTCGAGACCAATTGCCGATTTTATTCTGTACATAGCTTTCAATAACACGCTGTATTTAAAGGTGTTATTCAAAAATTTCACGCTTTAGCTAATTCTCGTTCAGTCTAGTAAGCGTAATCGCAGAAATAATGGAGTACGATACATTTAAATTAAAAGTGTAGTACAAATGAATCACAAAAAAAATACACTTAAATATTCGCTAAAATATCTTGTTATAAATTTAATGTGTCTCAATATATTATCATTTATCAGGAAACCTTCGTGTTCTACACTGATTAGTATAATCAGTTGTAACTTGAAACACTGTTTGCTATATTACGAGTACTTATGATTACAGATCGAGGATTGCACCTTAGAACTGGGAATTCCAGATTGTTGTTTCTTCCTCATTAAATACAAACTGGAGTATTTACTTGGAAATTTTGTTATTTTGAAGACACATTGTACTTAATAACAATATGTAATATTTTTTAACTTAATACAAAAATACCCTTTTGTTATCAAATTCGGTTGGAAACTAACAAAACTGATATCAATAACAATACAATTTGTTTGTGGTTTAATCTTTACGTAATTAATTAACCTAACACTATAGAACGAATGGACAGTTTAAAAGCGAACAAATTTATCAAAAAAGATATCAACATTAATCGTCAAATACAATTATTGTAGTAAAACACCACGACGCATTTGAATAGTTCAGAACAGCAACAAGATAGATTAAAACTTTTCGAAAAGTAGAAAGATTAAGAACATTCATGTTTTCTTTATTTTCGTTCATATGATCACGTTTGTGTTATAATTGTAACTTGTATGTGCAGAAATTAAATGACATTAATTTATGGCTCAGTGGTCAGCAAGGTAACAATTACGTTTAGTGGTTAAGATACTTTCACTGATGATGTACATCAAAGAACAACGTACCTATCTTATTTTACAAATGTATTTTAAAACTTAAATAAAGGTAAGTTTGAAAAGTCACCCACACTCGTTTTATTTTATTTTAGCATCTAATTATCACCGGCTATTATTATTTCAAAATCAATAGTGCTCTCCAGTTTTAATGTATGCTTGATTTGACACCTTCCTGGTATTTACGGGAAAGCATTTCATTTTTAATAAAAACCATTTTCGTAGATGCCCGAGGAGAAAGTATCTTGAACGAGTGGACAATTCTATTAATTTCGAAAATTTCAATAATACCACAAGTGGGGTAATCTTGTAGGAAATATACCACTTTCATTGCACTGCAAACCTTTTAACAGAAACACTTGATACCGCTGTAAACACAAAGCTTGGTGATGTGATGTTTTATAGTAATCGTAACTTCTAGCTTTTCTAAATTAAACACAATACGGCAGAACCATGCAGTTAGGAATATTAGCTTTTTTATCAGCTTTATTGTTTTACAGTGCTAAAGGTCTAGTGAATCTGGGTAAGTTATTCCTATTATTTTTAAAAATCTATTTTAGTGTAGAACATACATTTATCTCCAAAATTTAATCTTTGCCTTTAAAATTTATGAGACGCATTTCTATACCTTATGTTTTATTGTGTTTGGGGCAGTGGTTGCATAATTTATTTTTACTGCAGAAAGATTTTTTTTTTTTTTAATTATAATACTATTGTGCCAAATTTTTAAACTATTGAGAATGTTTTAACTTAAATAAAATTTAATAAATTAAACAAATCAGTGTATTAGATTTGATTTTAAAAATACTTCCTGCTGTTACCTTAAACTTGAAAACTGAGATACGAAATAACAGAATTGTTACGGAACTTTTTTAGGTCAAAAGATTCTTCGTCTACTGTGACCAGCTTCGCTATTTGTTCTAGTCAACTTTCACGGATTATGCAATTTTGCACTTATAAACCTCAAGTTTAACACGTGTTTTAGAAACTGAAAGAGATAAAAATTACTTTCCAATACTACAATACAATAATTTTCTTTTTCATTACATAATTTCGTTAGAACATCAACTTTTATGCATGAAGACGTATCATAACAGGACGGATTTTAGTAATTTTTTTATTCAATGACCTATATCGTTTCAGAGGAGTTCTTTAGAGACTGCCAAAAAACAGAAGAGACTTTTGATGACTGCGTCAAAGATGGACTGAATATTTTAACACCCTATTTTAAAACAGGTAAACATTATGCTGTAATTAAACTTGTTTTAACACTAAATGTTCAAATCTTTTAGGATTGCCCAACTATAATATTACAGCATTTGATCCATTTTTTGCCGCTGAAGTTGCTCAAAAACGTAGTGGCCCTTTTTACAGTTATAAACTTATTTTACGAAACGTGTCAGAGTATGGATGGAGTTCCTCACACATCACTAAACTCAAGTACGTTTTGTTTAAATTGCTTTCATCTTCGGTGGGAATGGAACGCTTACCGAACCCAGCTTCTCTAGGCTCAAACTACTGAAACGATTCAATGCCCTGACATTATTTTATTTTTACTTGCAGATCATATGCTTGGGATGTATAATAAGATCCATTTGACATTTGTTTCCTTGTTTTCTCGACGTTTCACAGCTCCTAGAAAACATTGAAATAAGTCTCCTATTTCTGTCTGTGTCGATTTGATCGCAAATAATCTTTGAAACTATCGAATAGACTACCGTAAAATTCTAGATTCTTTTAGGATTAGCCTAACCAAAATGTTTGTCCATTCCCAACAAAAAAGTAATGACGGCATCTCAAAATTTTGCTAAGTAAATGCTTTTTCAAGTATACGGATAGATTTTTGCGAAATAAATTAGAATTGTACAAAAAACCATCGCTCTGAAATTTTACACATTTTAAAGTTATATGTGCCACGGTAAATCATTATCTAGCTATTCCTTTCAAAAATTTATGACGTCATCTGTTGTCATTAGTCTCTGCCTGTCACGCGGGAGAGCGTCCACTAGGCGTTTTTTTAAAGTTGATTAAAATTAATTTTTAATTAAATTTAAAAAATACTTTTGCAAATCAGTATTGCTTACTTTTTGACTTGATTATAAGGTCCTTTAACTATTTTTTTTTCAAAAGGTAGTTTTTAGGTACTAATCGTGTGACTTTTTCAGAACAGATGTTAACAGACATCTTATCCAATACACCCAATTTTTTCCCGACAAGGGCCTTGATGGGTTCTACGAAATTGAAGGAACATTTTTTGGTAACAAAATTAGTAATAGTGGAGCATGGAATCTGAAGTTGTATGATTATATTCAAACTACCACGATTACAAGGAAACCACAGAGAGACGTAAATGGAGGACTAATACCACACCCTCCTCTCAAAGTTGAAATCAACGCGAAATCTTCTCGCAAACTGGAGCTACATATCGAAAATTTGGCAGGAGGCAGAACCATTCTTGGTTAGTACTTGGCACTTTCGTTTTTCATCATTTGACACTGTGTTGCAGAAAATATGTTGGACTGGATTATAAACAGAGCATGGCAACCCGGTTTTGTGATTTTAACGCCACTCATCGACGATTTAGTGAGCACAGCATTTACAGGAATATTCAATAAAAATTTACAGTATTTTCCATTTGAAAAAATATTTCCTAATTAACTTCACTACGTAAGTAACATTACTAGATTATAGTAATGAAACAATTGATATATTTTTTAGATAACCACAACGATATCGCAGAATTTAAAAGCTCGATCTCTTTAGGAAACATTGCATTTTCAGATTTATCAATTTGTCCCTAAGGACGTTTATAATCATAAAAAAGGACCAATAACTGAAAGTACAAGAATGAAAATTAAATATTATAGTTTTTGTATATTTATATAAATATATCCTCGAAGTACTGAATATTTTTTGTTGATTGTTTTCTAACTTAGAATTTATCTACAGTTGGTTACCGTTAAACAGTTATTTGGTTATTTTGTAGTATAACAATATACAATATACAATCACTTAAACAACATAACAAAGACATAAAAGCAGAAAAAATGAAGAAAACGTTTATGGTAACAAAAAATACTTGTAATAAAGTGATTAGGTTTAGAGTGTTTGCAAGCTAAAAGAAAAAAGAAGGTTTTTGTATACAGACAAATACGTAATTGTATTCTAAAACTATGTAACAGAAAATTGTCTGTGTTTTTTTTTTGCTACCAATTACTTATTTATTTAGTTTAAGATGAAGGACATACTTTGTTAGTCTTTCGACTGAAATCAAACGTTCCTTCTTTCATTTTTACTGTCTTATGACTGTCCCCATGTACGTTGTCTTTGATATTATTTCGCTTAGCGTTTTTTAACTGTTTTAATTTATTCTTAATAATTTCCGTTCATTTAAACTTTGACAAAATCATTTTCTGTTTTTGTACTAATCGAATTTATTTTAGGAATTTGGAATTATTCGGAGAAATGCAATTTAACACAAAATGTTAACAAAACAGCAAGGGGTTAGATACTAGTTAGTACGAAGTAAAAACCAACAGAAGAAAAAGAAATTAAATGGGAACGATTGTAGTGTTACAAAAAGTGGTAATAATTTTAGTGGCGTAAAAAAAAGCGTGAAACAGCTAATTCTGTGAGTGCACGTGTAAACGACAAATCTAAGTGAATGCCACTCGATTGTGTAGTACTTAGGTACCAGCAAGCACCAAAAATTTACAGACAGATTTCTACTGCACGTGTACCTCAGCATGCATAACCAGATGTTCGATACATACTATGTTTCTTAAATTCGCTGAGATTTTATTTTGATTATCACGACTAACTATATTTCTAAGAGATAAGAACAAATGATTGTGTTACTCAACACTTATAAATAGAAGAATTGATTTGTACATCCTCTTCCATTCTCATCAGACAGACTGACTGAGCATAGTGTCATCTGATATGACAACAGCTTATTTTGTCTTCTTTGGAACAAGAAAAATGTTCCTAGTTGAAGTCGGTACAAAATGAACCACAACGAATTAGTTGAGTTTACTGACAAACGACTTCATATACAGATAGGAAAATTTAATACTTTACAATTTAAATTAAGCTTCGTTACACTTTCTTCTTTTACTAAATTGTAAAACAAAAAAATAAAAACAACAACCCCGTATTTTTTATAGCATTCTTTTAAATTTGTTAAATTCTGTGTTTATAAGTCATTACTGTCAATACTGACCGCCAAAGACTAAAAAATGTACGGCCGCTAATACATCGACAGAAGTAAAAATATTTGAAACTCAAAAGTGCAGTGAAAACGGCCCCTTTAAGCAAATTAATTAGTTTACCTTCTAATACACAGAGATACTGTATCAATTTTTGTTAGTGTAAATTAAACTTAATTGACTTCAGTACACGACCTACCTTAATATTAAATTTGGATAAGTTGTCGTTAAGGGGCATTTATGAATTAATATGCCATGCATATTACTATCAATTACTAAAGGGGAGAAGGATGGTTACCTCGAGGGAATATAATCCCACTGTAAATATCTTCAACCTGAATATAAATTTATTTTATTTAAGGTTGAGTCACACATACATCCTGTATATATCTACCCACGCATAGTTTACCCCACTTGGATCTCCCATCACAGTTCAAACGTAATAACACTCAACTAGGAGTTTCTAATGGTATTTTGCTTTTATTTTTTATTTCTTCAAAACTGAGTGTTAATGTTAGTACATCCGTCGTTAACTTTCGTTTGTCCCGTTGTGGGCGGTCCTCTGTTGTATCATGTTTACGAAGTGGTGCGATATCCTACAAACAAAAGCAAAAGCTTCTTAGGTGATTCGACTGTTGAAATGTCCGATGACGCATTTCCTGTAGCTACATCAATCAAAGGTGAACCACTTTGTTCCCAGTGTTCTTTTCACCCGCTGTGCTGGATGATTCTATATCAGTGAGTTGTATATTTCTTTTTTTGATTTAAAATAAGAATTGCAGAGCCAGCAAGTATCTATTTCATTTTTTTTTTGTCTACAGATATTTTGTCAGATATAATTTTGGGGTTTGCCCATTCTCTATACAACTCTATATAACAAGTACTCCTAAATATAAATAAGTTTCAAATTTACCCAATTCAGCGTCATTAATCGATCACGTATGCTTCAAATCTGTGTTTCCAGTAGGTATAGAAAACGTAGCAATGGTCCGAACACGGTTCCTGCTGCACTCAATATAAAACCCCTGTATCTACTTAGTTAATCAAAACATTCCCAACTTTGACTTTAAACCTATGTTTTGATCAATCCGCTGATAAAAGTTGCTTAAACAGAAGATGACGTTTTGGTACACAGTTTGAGCTTAGAAAAATCTGGGGAAATTCGACTAGATGACGTCGACGGAATTACCCATATCAATTTCTCTTGTTTAGTCAGACAAACATCACAGGAGATTAGAAATTGTAGACTTAAGAGGAAGAAAATCGTGGTGCCCTGTTAGAATAACCTGCTGATCTACAAGAAACTATATTAAGCGATTAATTATCTACTCCATTATTTTAACAATTAACGATGTCAAGCTAACTGAACACTAATTATTCGGATCAAACTTGTCACCTGTCGAACTATGGCAGTTTTCTAGTCGTCTAGCAAAATTCCAGAAGAAAAGACTACATCATCGAAAGACTTAAGAGCTGCAAAAGAGTGACAACACATTTTAGATCGAGACAGAGTGTGTCCGAAGCAACAGTGAAACTATATTAAAAAAGTTGCGGCCACTGTAGTTCAGTTATCAATGACCCGACCACTGTCATCTTTTAACTGTGGCAGGCCCAGATTCATGTCTGTAAAAGCGATTACCGTCTCATTGATCAGCGATATGGTTCTCGTATGCAATACGGGTATCTTTAAGTATTAAGTGTAGTGGCAAGTCTGTTGAAGAAGTTTCTATCAGTTAAATCGTTTGCATTGCCAGTTCTGTTGAATGCCCACCGTAAAGATCTGTTAATTCTAACAAATTTGACAACCTTGGCATGTATCCATGATTCAGATGGGAGGACTAGCAGTTTTGCACAAACTTTGAGCACGAAATGCCAGAGTTATCTATCGGGCCAAAATATTCTAGAATTGTTAATGAATGGTCGTCCAATGCTATAATTAAATCTAAAGTAGATGGGTGCTGGCCGCATGGATATCTGGGAAGTTAGCTTACCAAATGGTTTAAATGAGTTAGAATCAATCCATCCCTTCTCTTGGCCCACAACAAGGGACCAGAAGGTGTCCCATCTGACAGTGTAGATTCCACGTGCTTTCGAAGAAATAATAACCTAGAAAGGAAATACTGTCCTGAGGCACGCAATTGCACCACTGCTGTAATATTTGTATCTCGTTTAGCATTTTTGGAGAGTCATATCTGCAGGCTGCAGTTCCTCTCAACGCAATGAATGGATTCTTAAAATGAGGAATAGTCCCATATAATCCCCACATTTTTTCTGACATTGATTTTATTGCTGCTAAAACAACAGATCAGACTACCGAAGCTGAAATTTTAGAACAAGATATAAACTTTGCTAATGCTAATAGATCAAAACCTACTGTCAATCTTATAAAGTCAGCAGATAATGAAATTTGGGATTCCACCGCTTCTACTACCTCCGCGCCAGAAGAACCCTATAGGACCATTAAAGTAAATACATCATTTTCAACTTCCAGTTTTTCTGTCTTCACACATGCTGGTCCCTGCGCTGTTAAACCACTACCAAAGATGACCGAAAACAAAAACAAATCTAAGACAGCACGAGTTTGCTCCTTAATATTAACCAGCACGCCGTTAACATTTGGAAGAAGAAAGAAAAAAGAATTAGATATAGAAGTAAAAAAACCTTTACAAAATGGAAAGCAGAGAGCATGAAAGCGAAAAGAAATCAAAAGTCGTAAAAGAAATCAAGTTAGCTACCAAATGTCGGAATCATCGTCCGACGAAGATGAAACAGACTGCCTGTTTTGCAACGAAAAATTTTCGTATAATAATAGAGGCGAAGGGTGAATACGGTATTGTGTTTGTTTAAAATGATAAGTGTCCTGGGATCGACAGTAATGATTCGGAGGGATTTACCGGCAATATCTGCCAGCAGAATCTCTTCGACGACGTGAGAAGAGATTTAAAGTTTTAAAAACCCTTTTTGTTTCTTTATTTTTATTATTTTTTATCTTCAGTATTTTTATTTATTTGAGGATGCCATTTAATTTTACTTAAAAGACTGTTATCTTTCAATTTTTTTGTTTTGTTTCTAAGGAATATAAAGTTTAATTTTTGTTTATTTTTTAATAAAAGTTTATAAGTAACCATATTATTTAAAAACTGTCCTCACTTATTGCTCAAACATTTATAGTTAAATAGGCGATCATTTTAGGAGCACCATTTTACCCACATGTGTTCCTAAAATGATCCTTTGGTAGGGTGTTTTTAAAACATAAATTAAAAATACAAACAAGTATTCTTTATAGTTTAAATTCAGCCAGCAAGTAGTTAAATAGTCAAATTTATAAATCCTAGTGAAATTTTATAAAAATAATGAAGAACTGTATTTTCTTGGGTCATTTTCCCTTAGGAGATCATTTTAGGCACCTTTCATATACAAAACATCTAATGTGAGTCATCGATCAGTAGTGGAGTGTTCGTTTTGCATTTGACGGGACTCAGTTCTGTTTCCGACATCTGCAATTTTTTAATTCCCTAGCGTAATCTAATGAAGTATTGTAATCGAGTCCATCGGGTGACTAGCTATTTTCAGGTTTTCTCATGTTTCATGGTCTCTTAAGTACGAAAAAATAGGTTTCCCGTTTCTGTCTGCCTGTCTATCTATCGTCGATGTAAATTTTTCTTAGCCAGATAATCTTCGAAGCTACCGAACCAATTGTG